TATATTGGCTCCACCACACTCGCCTAGTTTGCCGCCGAAGTGCACCAAAAAAGTCTAATGACGCATAACGCCGTCCACACGGGTACGTTTCCGTTTGAAAACATACAGTTTCTAACACGTTTTCGCTCACGGTCCACACACGGTAGAGAACGCACGTCGTTTTCATCCAAAACGCATGCATATGAAACGCTGTTCAGAGTAGAGACTTCAAAATACAGAACCTATGGTACAGATGGTGTGGATAGAAAAAACAGGGGCTTCTACAACGCTGACGTCACTCACATCACACGCACATGCGCAAATGACGGCGTGGGTGCTTTCTCACATTGTATCAAACGTTTCGAGCGTTTCAATGTGAACGAAGAAACACGACGAAAACTGCATTGTGAACAAGAAGCTCTTGTAATGTTCTTTACCAGCTGAATGTTGACATAGCTCCATGGTGTATGGTCGAAAGAGCTTTTACACAGATTTGGAGGAGAGGGAGGAGCAGGGTAGGAAAAAAACCAGGTCCGATTGCCCAGGACAAGTAAATTTTGTTCTTAGGCAAGTGAAAATAGAAGTTCAGTGGCCCAGAGGGCAAGTGAAATTAGCCTCGGTAGTCTTGTGAGTCTGAATAAAAATGTCAGCTTGATAAATTCTAATTTCCAGTCAGAAGCTTTTTCAATACTTAACACTGAAAGCATGGATTAGTAAGGAATCCAAACATACTCTGTTCACGTTTCTCCTCTGATTGCCATACCGGCTGCCAAGTCGTCGAATAAATATTTAAGTAGAGGCAAGTGAAAACTGAAAGTTACTAGCCCACGGGACGAGTGGATTTCAATTTTTTACCTGCCCTGAGGAGCAATTGTTTCCCAGGGGAGACATGTTATCGTAGCGTTACAGAAGTTGAGAAATGGAAATTGTAATAACCTTCCATCCAAAATGACATGCGTCACTTTGCTGTCAAAACTGCCGGTGACCTGGGCACCATACATGCGAAGCTTCAAACCGACCAGTTCCAGACTGCAATTAGGTATCCCCTGAAAACAAACCACAGGATGCAATGCCATTAGCGATCAGTAAGGGGCAAAACAGGCTTGAACAGGATTCAGTTGTGGGTGAAACAGGCTTGAACAGGATTCAAACCCATCAGTGACCACTGCGAATCCCTGTACTGCTCTACAAGACTGAGCTATCAAGTGAAGGCTTGCGTGGGCTTTTGATGTTGCGAGTTCGTAATATACCCGTACATGGTAAAAATACAAGTGAATATATGAAAGATCCTATCTCAGAACCGCGAGAGAAACGTTTAGATACATGATTCTACTGCTGAAACACAGCGAAACGCAATAAATC